CAACCCAACTCAACTCACCTGAACCTAATCTAACCCAACCCAACCCAACCCAACCCGACTCAACTCAACCTAATCTAACCCAACCCAACCCAACCCAACCCAACCCAACCCAACCCAACCCAACCCAACCCAACCCAACCCAACCCAACCCAACTCAACTCAACCTAATCTAACCCAACCAAACCCAACCCAACCCAACCCAACCCAACCCAACCCAACCCAACCCAACCCAACCCAACTCAACCTAATCTAACCCAACCCAACCCAACCCAACCTAATCTAACCCAACCCAATCTAACCCAACCCAGATCAAACTAACATACACAAGTATACTATATCTTCTTATCGATTTCCATATCAAAATGAATTTCCAATACATTATAATCCTAAAAAACTCAAACTTCATCCACCTTCACGCAGTGAATTGAATTTCCAGGAAATTTATTTTATGAGTATTTTATTTGAATTTCCTGGAAATTGGATATTACCATCGCATGCTGAATATGTAAATATTCATTTACAATAATAAAATAACTTTCGAAATATGAAAAGCTTCAGTAGAAGCAGTTTGTTTTTTTTTCATGACTGAACAAGTAAAAGGAACGTTCTATTATCATGTGTCATAGTCTTTTTGGTTACTAGGGTAACAGCACTTTCCTTGATGATTATTTAGGATAAAAAAACCGATTCTCTCAAACAAGAATAGTCTTAACGTGCTTCTTATCTAACGGTGATCTCAGATAAATCAAAATTCTTTCAAACTTTTCATTGTTCGATATTAATGTATAGATATACACTATTTCATATTCATTTGATTTTTTCTCGATTTATCACTAGATTAGCTATAAATATCATTGAATATTTCTATTGACTAATCATTTCAAAATCTTTGTGTCGTTCTATAAAATGATTATTACTTATTTATTTTGTATTTTTAGATTTTGTCATTGTTCTATTTAGGCATTCTATTCTTTTATTGAATTAAATCTCGATTATATAATGACTAGTAAGTTTGTTTTATATATATGATTAGAGAATAGCTTTTCTAATGAAAATTAGTCTTTTTTTTCTTGTGTCATAAACCGCATTTCATGAGTGTTGTTTTGAAATATTATATGTAAAAAATCAAATTCATACAAAAACAAAAAAAAACATGATCGATTATTTTTGTTAAGAAATACACATAAAACACTGCCACATATAGAAGAAATCAACTGTATCGTTTCTTATATTAATGTTGAACATTTGTTTTTTGAGTCTGAACTTTGATTGAAGACAAAAGTGTTTTAGTAATTGATCATCAAACGAATTAACAAAGGAAATCAGTATGACTTTTGTTCTAGTTAAGAGATTTGCAAAAGTTTATATTCGGTTGAATATCTTGATAGAAATATATTTAATAAAACTGTTAATTTCTGTATTTATGGTTTTTTTTGGTTTGTCTAGGTAATTCTCATACTGATATATGTCTATCTGATTCTGTTCGATCAAAAAATTCTGAATCAAAATCAATATCAACACGATCTGTTCTATACCATCTTTGTTCAACACATACAGATTGTCAACATTTAGAAGAATTTCTTGGTATTGATCAATTAAATGTTGGTGAACCTAGTGAAGAATTTCAAAATGTTATTAAACAATTTACTACAGAATCTAAACCAGAAAATAAAAAAACTCAAGAATTCGATAATTTATTAAAGAAGATTAATTCAAGTGTAACATATACTGGTGATCAGAAAGGTGGTGATTTTGAACATATATTTCATGGTAATCGACCAGATTTCACATGGATCATTAACAATAGTTTTTATCCATGGAATATAATCTCAATAATTGAAAAAAAAAGCAATATTATCATGCCAAATGATATTTCTCAAATGTTAGGATATTTAAAATCAATTGTTAAAGTATTTCCTAAAAGAAAATATGCCATCGGATGTTTAACTAATTACAAAGAAATAATTTTCGGTAAAGTATCAATAGTTAATGATAAAGTTCAGTACGATAGATTTAGCTCCCGCAATGTAATTGAAAACTTTTGGAAGTTTTTACATTGCAAACCAAATCATTTAGGACATGTACAATTTTCTATTCCAAATGTTTTCGAAATTAAATCCTTACTAGGTAAATATTATTTGAAATAAGAGTTAATTTTTGTTTAAGATTTATTATGATAAAATTAATAATAATTTAGAAGAATATATTGATTTAATTTCGAGCATATCATTATTTATATTAAACTTTTATTCATAGAGTATTTCTATTAGAAATAATTCTTAAGTAATATTTTCAATGACATTAAATAAAATAAAACAAAAGAAAAAAAAAGAATAGCTGCTTAGTAGTTTTTGAGAAAGTTTTTTTTTACATAGAAATAAATTATTTTAATTTTGTTCAATCGTTCATCATGAATCTAATCGAGTATTCGATGTATTTTTTCTATCATAATTGATTTAAAAACGATATATTTTTAATTAATATATTTAAGAAAAACAAATCCTAAAGAAGATTTATCAATATATTCTATTGATTAAATATGATGATTGTGTTTTATTAAATTGATAATATAATAATGAATAATTTCAAGATTTTCTAATTGACATAATATTTATGTATGTAATAAGAATAAAAATTATCAAAATAGAAAAAAAAAACATTTAAAATCAAATATTGATTAAAATAATAATAGAAAGATGTTGGTGATGAATTTTTTTAAGATTTGTAGTATTTGTTGTAGAGATCTACTTATAATTATAATAGATAATTGACTATTTGATGATATTTGTTTATTAATTTTAAAAAAAAGAATATTTGATTTTTATTTTATTATTAAATATTTTAAAAATTATTGTTCTTTAATGAGCAATATAATCATTTAAATCTATTGAAATATGATTACTTTGTTTATAGGTAGTGGTGCAAATGCTATGGTTTATCGAATTGTATATAATAATATTGAATATGCAATAAAAATTTCAAATAAAATGCCAACAAAAGAATATGATATATTTCAAAAAATGAAAGTTTATATGAATATGTCTGATTTAAATTATAAAATTATTGAAATCGATATTAAAGAAGGTTTTGTTTTATCAAAACCAGTTGGAACAATGATAAAGAATGATGATATATGTAAAACAAAATATATTATTCAAATATTAAAACAATTAGCCATTGGTCAAAAAGCTGGATATGTACATCGAGATATACGAATAAATAATATAATATTAGATAGAAATGATTATGCATATTTAATTGATTGGGATTCATCAACATTTAATGGTTTCAAAGGTGAATATGAAGGTGCATTTATAACTGCATCAACACCTGTATTGAAACAATATTCATCATCAAATGGTAAAGAAGTCTCAGCTTATTATGCTGATGATTGGGTATCAATAATTTATATGATATTATTATCTCGTTGTTCAAAAGACAAAGTAAAAACTTTAAAGATTCGTGCTAGTCACAGTATGGCTTATGAGTTAATATATGACCGTCAAGATATTTTAGAAGATAAAGCAATTCTACCAAATGAAAGTAATTTATCAGATTATAAAAACGAAGTTATGAATTGTCTATATGATATAGAACTTAAACGAGAAAATTTAACAAACATCGATGATTTACATCAACGATGTATGAAATTAATTGAAACAATATTCAAATTGGGTTTGATGTCATAAAGTACTTTTTATACTGATATTTACTTTATTCATATGTACGTTATTTTTTTTTGTTGAAGTTACTTGTTTGTTTTGTTCTGAAAAAGAATATAATATGAAACTATTCGTTATATGGGTGTGGGTGTGGGTGTGGGTGTGGTGCGTGGGTGTGAATGTGGGTGCGGGTTGTGTGGGTGTGCGGTGTGGGTGTGCGGTGTGGGTGTGTGGGTGTATGGGTGTGGGTGTGCGGTGTGGGTGTATGGCTGTGGGTGTGCGGTGTGGGTGAGTGTGGGTGTGGTTGGATGTGGACGCGGAGTGTGGGGTGTGGGTGTGTTGGGTGCGCGTATAATTATTGATGTTTGAGAAAAAGTGCAGCACACCCACACTCCACACACACACCGACACCCGCACACCTACACCTACACCCAAACCTTACATGCACGCCCACATCCACACCCCACCCATACTCACACCCACACCTACACCCAAACCCTACACGCGCGCCCACACCCACACCCACACCCCACATGAACACTCACACCCCACCTACGCCCAGAACCAGTCTGTCACTGTCAGTGGCGGGCCAAAGTCCTGTCTGTCATGATCTGTGATGAGTTCAAAACCCGTCTGTCACGGTCCATGATCGACCCAGACTCTATCGGTCAGCGTCTCTGATAGTTTCTGGAGTTCTCTGTCGCGGTCTGTCAGGGAGGAGGGTCCAAAATTTCTACTCTACACACTTCAACACTTCTTTATGATCGTGTTTCACAAAATAGTTGACATAATGCATGAACGTTATCATTATTTAGTAAAGTACGATCATGTCCTTTGCATGCAGTAACATTGTTTTTGTTCACGAAATAGTCAAAAAATATTGAAAATAGGTGCATATAAATGATTGATAACAGAAGCTATTTGATTTGGCTTTGATAAAAAAAGAAAAGTCCTTTCTTTTTGAAAAAAAAAACAATAGTTTCTTCAGATTTTGTGTGATGTGTTATTTACAAATGAATATTACGCATTTTTAGCATCAATAAAACATGCTAATATGGATATTGATTAAGAGCTCTAGATTTTATAACATGATTAAGTCATAAAAAGCATTAATCAATAGATTAAGAGCAAAATGCCAATTTCTTCGAGAAGAAGAAAGCGGACGAACTCTAAAACTATATTCGCAAAACAAATGAGTAATAGATTGAAATCAAATGCGTGTTTTATTGTCGTAATATTACATTTTATTTCTCTTTGTTAATGCATATGCACGCATAGCGGAGCATATATATATATATAAGATTGAAATACAATTCATTACAGTAGTATTCAGCTATAATGGTACCAAAAAGTATTTCTGCTATTGTTGGCCTGTTATTTATTGTAGTTATTATCAATGGTGGGATCGATGACAAGTGTCTTGAATGTATTTGTCAAGTTGAATCAAAATGTTTACCACTGCCATGTGCATGGGATGTCAATTCATTATCATGTGGTTATTATCAGTTGAAAGAACTTTATTGGGAAGATTGTGGTTCACCAGGTGATTCATTTGAAGATTGTGCAGCAAATAAAACCTGTTCAGAAGAATGTGTACGTACATATGTGGATCTTTATGCTCAATCATGTATTAAGCATGGTATACCAACTTGTGAAGATTATGCTCGTATTCATAATGGAGGTCCTAGGGGGTGTCGAAAGAAAGCAACACTTCCATATTGGCAAAAAGTTTCTGCCTGTTATTCTACATCTTAAAAAAACAAAATTTCATATAGATCTACATCACTCTGTAACAAAAAAGGGTGTCATACTGAACCTTTCTCGGTACCATTTTGTGAACCTTTTTTAAAGTTCTAGCCGAAAATGTGGAACTAAAAAACGTTTTAGACTGTTTCTCTAGAACCTAAAATAAGGTTCAGAAAATGATACCGAAATCTAGAGCCATAAAAGTTTTAGACCTTCGCTAAAACCTTTTATGGTTCATTATGTCCCCTTTTTTTTAGAGAGCAGTAGTTCTTCAATATTTTCAGTTTTATTGTCAATAGCAACGATATAAATTGATGAATAAGAATTGCTAAAACAACAAATGCATCATTATTTATATTATAACCAATAAAATATAAAAATCAAGTGAAATAGACTCATTGAATTTGAATCGGAAATATACGTGAAACTTGAGTGTAAAGTTCAATCCAAGTTTCGAATTTCAGCTTTTAGCTTTCAAATAAACTTAGTCACTCTCTCGATGTAGATACCGTAAAAAGACAAACAATAAAAGCTTGAGCTGTGAGGAATGATCATTCAATTGAATCTAAATTTCAAGTTAACACTACTGAATAGATGCCCGAAATAGAACAAAATTTGCTGTTCTTATTCAATACAATGTTATTCAATTCCATTTGTCAATCACTATCAGAAAAAATCTTTTAACTATACTTATGATAGTGTGATGACTGGATTTCAACATGTCATGATAAAAATTCCAAATTTTAGTGTAGACGTAAATTGTAAGCGTGTGAGTTTAGTGCATTTCTTGTAATTAAACTTCTATGCTATCCTGAATAGGGGTGGGAAGTTATCGTTCTCGAACTGTTGCCTGGAGACGGTAACGGTTGCTACGGAAAAACTTACCAGTTCCCGAGTAACTGGTAACTGCCCCGTTACCAGTTACCCGGGAACTGGTAACGGTAACTTCCTACCCCTACCCCTAATCCTGAAACCCAGAAAGAATATATTTTCACTATGAAAATATCTTTTCACTATGAAAATATCTTTTCTATATAATCACATGTTCTTAAACAAAGGACATCTGATGATACTGTTTCATGCAACAGATTTTTCAACAGTGTTGAATCCAAAGCAAAAGCAAATACATAGACTCTTTTATTATAAAAACATGGCAGCAAATATAAAATGAACTGTTGGCGACAAGAAGATAATGTGTCGTACATGTCAGATCAAATACAATAAAAATGACATGATGAAGAAAGAATGGAAACAAATTCATGAGATTTGAGCGTATTGAATTAGTGTATTTTTGAAATAATCTAAAAAATTGAGTGCTAATATCAAAATTTAACAATAGAAAAACGAGCTACATTGTTTTGTGTACTCAAAAAGTGAGTACACTCTAGAATCGCTCAGTGTGTCCGCTCGGCCGTCCGTCCGTTTACACGATAACTTTTGAAAGGAGAGTCAGATCACGATGAAATTTTCTGCAAAGTTTAGTCTTAACAATGTCTCGATCGAGTTCGAAGATGAACATGATCGGCCGAGCCATTTGTGAGTTATTGCAAAAATAGTCATTTTTCCCTATGGCTTCCTATGCGAAAATCGACCCACCCCAGCTTTCGTAAAAGACTTTTCCCATCATAGTCAAATAAAACCCCAACTACTATATACCATTCGATAGAGAAATTCACGAGCTGCAAAATAGTGTATAATACATAAAGGAACCAGAAGGCTAACTCACCTAATACAAAGATAATAAAACCGAAATAGGTTCCGTTTTTGTCCACCATCTAATTGACTCACAATTCGAGCTCTATCTTATGATCATAGAGTTGATATTTTGAGGTTTTCTGGGACGGAGAACTCGAATCCATACTCCACTTGTCTCGAAATACTATTGGTTGAGCGGCGACCAATAGAAATCAAGTTATAGGAAAAACGACTTTCTTAGGGTAAATCAAGGCGAAGAGTTCAAATTTGAGCTCTATTCGCCTCCAAGCCCTATTGATGGATCAATAGTCAACACAAATAAACAGTTTATACAAAAGGTTTCCCAGTACAATTTTGATATCCACATATTCTAGGAAGACTCATCTGTCTCATTCACTTTTTGAAGTACACATAACTCTCGGATTTAAATCCGAAGTTTCCGCATTTATTTATAATAGACAAAGATTTCCAGACTGATTTAATGACTGCTTGTCCATTTGTCCAAAGTTCAGCTAGTATGACTTGCGATATAGTTTTGATTTCTATGTGAATATCTATGATAAATTCTCTCATCTCCGTGAGATCCGTTAACCAGCCATAAATATATAAGCAGCAGGCCAACGAAATGATTAGAGCAGCTATGTTTGTGAATACGAGGTTTGACGAATAAATAATAAGATCAATAGGATATTTTCCATAAAACTGCCCGCATGATTTCTCAGAAGTGTAATTGTGTGATGCATTCGTGGATATTGATGTCCGATTACTGTTTCATTCAAAATGACAATAAACAATAAGTGAGAAATCAAATGGTCTTGCACTTAGAAACACAATAACTACGGTTGTAACCATCGTTTCATTATCTGAAACAAATATCAAAAATTTCTCATGATATCTGCTAAGAATTAATGGGTGGATATGAGTTGTCTCTTAACGCACTCACACCCGTCCACATCCACCCACACCTACACCGCCCACACCCACCCATACCTACACCGCTCACTCCCGCCCACACCTGCACCGCCCACACCCACACCCCATAATACACAGTTTATCGTTCACAATCATATGAATATATAGATAGGATAGCTAGTTTTTAAAATTCTTCTAATACAACATACTCAATTACAATGAAAAATAATTAATAAGTGAAAATTTGATCGTACAAATTGTAATATTTTATAGACGGAAATAAAAATTATTTTTTGATGAACAATTCGAGTCAAACAGTCGAGTCAGCGTCGCAAAATTTCCGAGTCCGTGTCGAGTCCGAGTCTTTGCCAAAATGTGACTCGAGTCGACTCGAGTGCGAGTTTTGACTCGGACTCGCCCATCCCTGATTCGAGTTAGTAATGATTTTTAATTAAATAAAGAAAATTTTTTGTTTTTTTATTTTTTTGATTATGCTTTAGTGAAAAGTATTGAAGTTGTGGCTATTAGCAGATCATTTGAAGAAGCATTTCAAAAATGTTTAAGAATGGTTGATGAAAATTTTACTGGTTTTGAACCATATGAAAGAACAATCACAGATGACGTAATATTAATTAACCTCTTGGATACCGCAGTCTTCAGGTTGAAGACAAACAGAACGCAAGAATTTTGTTTTCGTTCTGTCGTATCGATAAACCGCTATGAAACGAAATGTTCATTAATACGGCTGCATCAATCCACGTTTCATATACGATTACATATACATGTATACAGCTGATTCACGAAGATAGAAAGCAAGAGAGAGTGATTTTTCGATTTTTCTATAAGATCGTAAAGAACGTAAGAATTGTCGGTATCCAGGAGGTTAAAGATTAGCTCGAGTTTTTCTTATATTTTATTATAGGAAATAAGTTCTCTAACTGATGTCAATGTTTTTATATTAGCAACAGCTTTTCATCGAGGCTATACAATCGAACGTTTATATCAATTAACACAAATTGATCGATGGTTTTTGTATAAATTTCAAGCAATTATTCAATTTCTTATTCATCGTTTTAATTCATCCATTATTCAAGATTGATCACTTTTCCTTGAAGCAAAATGTTTGGGCTTTTCTGATAAACAAATTAGTAAATATTGTGGTACTACTGAACTCGAAGTTTGTGAATCACGTAAACAATTTGGTATGCGACCATCTGTTAAAATGATTGATACAGTTTTTGGTCAATGGTCGGCACAAATAGATTATTTTTATATAACTTATAATCCTAGGTAGAACGATATGGTCCGTAAACGACCGTTTACGGTTACCTTACGACGCATAAACGGATCGTATACGGCCGTAATATCGGACACAGAAATACGGCCTTATCATAATGAGATTACGCCCCGTATACTGTGAAAATACGGCCTCGTATACGGTGCCGTATTACTGTGCCCATGATTACGAGAAAATACGGTCCGTTTACGGTGTCGTATGAAGCAAATTTACGGTGAAAA